GTGGACATTAACATGCATTACTTCCAAGCGCCAATGTGCTATTTTTAACTTAGAATGTTCAATCTTTGCCCAAAGTAAGACATGATTAGTGTTTTGAGGAACGGATTTGCTCTAATTTAAAGCAGAGGGGTGGAAATTTCCAGAAAAGGAAAAAAAAAAAAAGCTCTTTATAAAACATATGCAAATTCCTCGAAACTGCTTTATAAAACAAATTTAAATGACGGGCTTCTTGGCCAACATACCCAAAAGACCCTCTCATTCTTTTTAATTCTTTTCAAACTACACAAACTCTGAGGGCTGGACTCCTCTTTTCTTTGGTCTCTCTGCAACACAGGAGCCACTGAAATGGCAGATCTGCCTTCATGCAGGTTGGAGCAGTTTCGAGTTTTCTGAGTTTGTCACTCTGCAGTTATCCTAATCGATCCTACTATTATCTACAAATATTAACATTGCTGTTGTTTTTTGTTCCATTGCTCAGTCATGTCCAACTCTTTGCAGCCCCATGAACTGCAGCATGCCAGGCTTCCCTGTCCTCCACTATCTCCTGGAGTCTGCCCAAGTTCATGTCCATTTGAAGAGGAAAAATTAAAATTTTACATAACCTCCTGCTCCTTCTGCCTCCGTAACTCAGCTTGCTCCTTGCAAAGTCTGGATCACATAGGTCTCAGAAAATGGGAACTCGCAATACTAGGACCTAGAGCTTATCTCACTCACCCTTGTCCTGCTCTTTGCAATCGCCCAGCCTCTGCAAACCCGCAAACCTGCTTAATCATGCCTGTCCACGTATAAAAATTCTGTAACCCCTTCATTCGGGGCTCAGAGTTTGGAGTGTTAACTCCTCTGGGCCCGCCGAGCTAATAAATCAGAGTTTTCCAACTCTCTGAGTATGGTGCTTGGTTTCTGGATTACTGGTTTCTGCAACACATTGAGTCAATGTTGCCATCCAACCATCTCATCCTCTGTAGTCCTCTTCTTCTCCTGGCCTCAATCTTTGCCAGCACTTGCTTAGACATAAAACAGTCACTGAGGTGACTGCTCTGCCCCTCTGTTAACCCAAATATGACGTATGTGTGTGTGTTAAGGCTGTGTGTAGTGCTTCTAAAAAGTTCAGATCACTAACGCTTTGTCTGTTGACGCTCAAACTTGTTTTCACTCCCAATGCTCCTAAGAGACAGGAGACAGTACAATCAGTAAAAATGGTTCTCAGGCGGGGGTTGGGAGGCTCGCACTCACTGGGTCCTGTCACAGGAAAAGCCTCTGAGGTAGTTCTGACCGCTGATACCCCGTCCCCCGGGCGGGGAGTGCGCGCCCCTTGGCTCAGGTAGACAATCACTGGTTTGGTGTGGCATTCTGTGCCCAGGGCTGGGGCCACGGGGCCGCTTCTGCCTGTCCCCCTCACCAGTAGAGTCTGGCTCCACTCCCTGTCCAATTCACCGCTAAAGTTTAAAGGACTGATTTTTTCATTTGGCCCTGAGTTTTCACAAGAAGAGAAACAAAGGGCAACATTCCTTCGCTCTAGAAAGGAGCAGGAGCAGCTGTATTCCAGGACAGAGGAGATGCAAGGGTGCATGGTGGCGGGCTGCCAGCATGCTCAGTCATGTCCCACTTTCTGTGACCACACAGACTGCAGCCCACCAGGCTCCTCTGTCCGTGGGATTTCCCAGGCAAGAATCCTGGAGTGGGTAGCCATTTCCTTCTCCAGGAGATCTACCCCGCCCCGGGATGGAACTCGTGTCTCTTGAGTCTCCCGCACACTGTTCTCCACGCCAAAAAGTGCTGTCTCTGGGGGGCTAAATGAATGCCACCACCCCCTCCCCATGTCTGAATTGCCTTTACAAAGATACACCATTTCATCAAACCACAATTAGTGATCCCAGGAGAAACAGAATCTTCCTCTGACTTAAACAGACATGCTATATGCAGATGGTAGGCATGCATGCTATGCATGTATACCTCCTTTCCTGAAACAAGGCTTTAGTTAGGAGAACATAGAGGGACATGAGGCCAGGAAAGACTGCCAAGGAGGGCCAGACTGAAGGAAGAGGAAGCTGGGGGTGCCTGAACGACTTTGTCTCCTTCACAGTGTAGCCCAGGCAGATACTACATAGCTTTACCCGACTGTCCAGAAAAAAGAGAACTGAGACATTCAGAGACTACTTCTGATTTCAGCCCAAATATTTTCTATATAATTTTAACCAGATTCTAAAAAACCCAACTAATGCTTATTGTTGAGCAGGACAGAGATAAATTCATTAATCAAGATGTTGTTTACATCCCTCACAGTCAGGGTTAATCATTTGTGGGTTTCCAAACCAAGATGCTTAACCTTCTGTAACTCCATTAATCCAGGAATAAGTGGCACTATATTGATATCCAGGAGTATTTTTTAGATACTACAAGTCATATGCTGTCCTGGAGGGCCCCAAGCACCATAAAATTGTCCTAAATGTTTAATTTTATTCACAGTCACAGCATTTGGTTAATCAAAGTATTAATCTTTCAAAAGGAAGTATAAGCCCTTCCCCAAGGCATTAATTTGCCAATCATTCCTTTGATAACTATTGTAATATCTCATGTCAGTCCTAGCATACATGTTTAAACAGAATATATTTTCACACATAAAGTGAAACATTTTCTATTCCAAAAGTGACCATCATTTCATAATTAATATCAGTGTGGAGCGCTGGCTAGAGGTCTCATATAAATCATCAAAATAAATGAAAATGGCACAACAATGAAACTACAATTATCAATTCAGTCACATGGTTCCAAGTTCAGCTAGAACACAGGCTTATCACTTACATCTTCCCACTTGCTTATAAAAGACAAATCTTTCAAGCCCCAGTTATTTGGTTAAAAAATATATCTGCTTCCAGATATTAAATGCTCACTCTGGACCAGCATACTGGTCTTAGTTAAGACACCTAGCATAACCAAGAGTTCCTTCTGGCTAAAAGGCAGGAATGGCAGCCCCTTTATCTGCTGATCAATAGTTTCCAGAATTGGCCTACAGCACCGGACTCTGCCCAGAGTCAATGGTCGTTCTACCACCTGGTCGAATAAGGCCCCTCAGAGTCACCCAAGAGGGTGAGGAGAGAATTGGACTGTCAGTGAGAGAACAGGGCAGAGAGAAGCCAGGTCGAGAATGCATTAAAACAAAACCTACCCTTCAGGAGGCCCAAAGTTTCCTTTGGCAGCCCAAGCAGACAAAGGACAGTCAGGTCTTGGTGGAATCCTTCACCAGCATTTTCTCATTAATCCAACATTTCTCATTAATCCAACAGACTAACACAGGTAAGGGGTTACCTTGCCTCCAGGTAAGGGGTCAGCTGGCCCAAAAGAAATTGCTAACAACTGTATCCGGTTTCCTTTGAAAGTTTCCAGAGATGGAAAACTAGAGCACCTTTGACCACCTATTTCAATTTGGCATGCCTCTTGCCAAGGAGGCTCTTCCTAACATCTGGCTCAAATATCTCAGGTATTCCCTGATGCCTTTGTGTGACTCTACAGTACTCCTTAGACACAGAGCACTTCTGCTCAGCAGCATCCTCATTTGAGAAAATTGCATCAATCTGAAAATAGTCATTAAACTGCCTCTTACCATTCTCTCCTCTAAACTAAGGGAATTCATACAGAAACTGGGGGATGTTACAGACATGAACCAAACTAGATGGTCCCCCAAGACAGCTTCCAAAGCAGAAAGACTTTGATTTGAACACTTCTTTTTTCCTTTTTAAGTTTGCCATCACTTTGTTCATTTTTGTCATTTTGTCATTGTTATCTGTCATCTATCCACATTCTCCACATTCTTTTAATATTTTTAAATCTAATACACACAGAAACAGTTTCTCATAACATTAGATGAAGACTCATTAATTCAGAATAAGTTGGAAAAGTCATGTCCCACTAAGTAAAAAAATCAGAGTGAAAAATATTTTCAACTTTTAAAATGTTGCCTATTACCAAAGACTACATAACAAATATTAATAAATATAATAAGAATGTTAATGAAAAATAAGTCACAATAACTTTATGGGACTTTATGTCTTCAAACTATTGTTTCATATTTATATTCTTTTGCCAATTTTATCTGATATGTAAATGCAATCTGTAGGTAATAGATCATCCTAAACCAAAAAGTTTCACATTATCCTGCTAAATCTGAGCTTTAATGCAATAATACAATTATTCTAAGTCTGCATCAGGCAGTCTGAATTAATGAGACGCTGCTCTATTGAAGCTATAATAAACCTGACAACTTCATGGCCATCTTCTAGTCCAGAGTGTCAGTCCCATCTACACATTAGTGATAAACACAATTTCCTCACACAGGAACTTTTGTCATAGCAGAACATCCCACATTAAGGAAGTTTCACCAATTATCTTATACCTCAAATACCATAGAAACGTTTGATCTGATAAATGAGCTAAAAATTCATTAGAGTCTCAAAAACTACTTGCTTTGCTTTAAAACTGGCCCAGTTAACGTACACACTGCTATATTTAAATGGATAACCAACAAAAACTTATTGTATAGCACATGGAACTCTGTTCAAGGTTATGTGCCAGCCTAGATGGGAGGGGCCTGGGGAAGAATGGATACATGCATATGTATGGCTGAGTCCCTTCAATGTTCACCTGAAACTACCACAATATTGTTAATGGACTATACCCCAATACAAAATGCTTTTAGTGTTAAAAAAAAATAAAAATTAAAAGAGAATATCACAAGATGCTGAGGACTCAACATGTCATGGGAATTATCACCTGTTTGTTCAGAAAAAAAAAAAGTCACAATCCAATTAATTGCTTTAAAAACATGGAACTAAATCAACACTTGTAAAACCTAGACACAAACTCCTCTCTTTGGGAAAACTGTGGCCCTGAAAGAGTCTATGAGCATCTTTACTAGGTTCACTTTCTTCTTAAACCTGCAGCTGGAATCAGGACAACTTACTGTCTTATTACAATTGTCAGAATTGTCTAGTGCCTTTACCTACCTTAAAAAGTCTTAAAATGTTAGCCACCATGATGGACACGGAGCTCGCGGCAGCACCGATAACGCCAGAAATCTTGTCAGGCTTGGTGAAAATGGGCGGATCTCCATTAGCACATTTCACATCAGAAGCATCCTTCTCTATCAAAGCCTGCACAAATGTTAGGGACTGCTCCAAAGCATAGGTGTCCCTGGAGCAGGTGTCGAGGATCCGGACACCCAGAGTGATATTGGAGAGGAGATCAGGGTCCTTATTAATCTGGTCAATTGCATAAAGCATGGCCTCCAATCTGTGGATCCCCTTCTCTTTCTTCAGCTCCCCACAAGGCACCCCTCTCTCTCCCTTTGCATGGACAGGAAAGAGACCTCCCAAAATGATGTCCCCATCCACTCGGATAGAATGGGCATATTCTTGGCTGTGAGTTCTTTGCATCATCGTGAGGATCCAGTAGAACTTGGCCGTCAGGAGAAAGAAACAAGGGCAAGAGGCTGATCGCTTTCCCTCGCATACCATTTTCTCCACGGGCGGTGTTGCAATCCAATACCCAAAGATTATTCTTGCCACAGAAGAAGGGGGACCACCTGAGGCTGCACCTTCTGGAGGCTACCATCAGGGCCCATGAGGAAAAGGCTCTGTGGGTTTCAGCAAGTGTTCTTGATTTGAATGTCACAGTGAATTTCCATTCAGACCCCAAGGTTCTATTTTATTTCCACATAAAGTCAACTTGCCTGGAATGATGCAAAAATCAGAGGAACAGCTGAGGTTCTGATGTTGGGATGAAGTCACCAATTCACGTCCTTGAAGTCAGCCCTGTAGCAGAATTATTCCTGAAGGGCAGAAGGAAGAAAAGAAAGGGTTCCATTCAATGGGCCTACATTTTTCATTTCTTAAGCCCTGTTTGCACCGACCTCTTTTTTTGTTGTTTCATTTTCACTATTCAGTAAGAAACTAATTCTTTCTGTCCCCTTATGATTCTGAACACCTGGCTGCACTGCATCTAAACAGAGAGATGGATGACACTTTTGGAGCAAGAGAAACAGAAAAGTTATCAGTAACTAGGTTGACTCTTGCAAATCAGAAAGTACTTTTATTTACCATTTTATTTCAATAAATCCAATTTCCATGAAGGTAAAAATCCTGTGACTGATGGCATTATTTCTTTTCAAATCTGTTTTTACTTTTTACAGCTGTCTGAATTCAGCATTTAAATTTTGTCCACAAAATCAGAATGAAAGGCTATTTTCTGTGATGTATTCAACAAGCCAGTCATCTGTTAACGACATTTTTTGGTGCCTTGGATTTCCCGAGGGCAAAAGTGATTATTCAATCACAAAAAAAACGAAGAGAGAGAAAATCCACCCAAGGAGCCCAAAATGTGTAAGTTTTAGAGCTTGTGAAAAGATTAGACATACAATGTCAGCAATTTCATATAAATTATCTTATTGTTCTCTGTTAATAAAAAACAACATGAAAATTAAACACATAGGGTGAGTTATGTGTGAAAAATATTCCTATCACCTTTTTCTGTTTCCTATTAATTTGTCAGAATGCAAGCAATGGGTATGCTTGCAGTTCTGAAGTAAACACTCCTTGATCCTAGAATCCCTATGACCAAATCAGAGCTGGAGATGAACTAAAGAGTTTCTCAATTTTGTCTGACTCAGTGGGGAAAACAGTTATTTCATCACAATGAGAAATAACCAAGAATGAAAACAACTACAAGCAAATCTGTAGAAGTTTATTCTAAGACCTTCACTCTTAAATAATTCCATGAGATTTTTTCAAAGGACTTTAGTGGAGGTTTAACTGAAAATGGGAACTGACTTCATGGAAGGGAATTTGATGTTTGAAATGTACATGAAATTAACAGAGTAAACATACCAATGTATTTTGCTAGAATGGGTAATCTAATGTTCATTTCTAACCTATTTATACAAACAAGTTTGAAACCTGAAATGTGGATAATTCTCCTCTACCCTAGTCAACCAACATCTGGTTGTATTTTCCATTCACTTGTTCAATTTCCAGTTCATAAAATTTTCATCCTGTCCTCACTATCCCAAAGGAAAGGATGGTGCCTCCCTAGAGAACAACTGAACATATGTCCAAAACCCTTCAGAGAAAACTGCGTTGTTTTTTTTTCAGTTTCAGATGAAGAGAGGAGACTTATCAGAGACCACTGCCTGGAATTTCAGAGTACACATCTAGAATACACTCAGAAATACAGCCAATGACCCAGTCTATTGAGATAATTCTTGTCTGCCCATGATAAGCATTTCCGGACTCTTGACACTTGCCAAGCCCTGGATTTTCCCAATTCTGCCCCAAAATACTTAGTCCTTTTCTGTTTTTTCTCACCACTCGACGGATGTTCTATCACATGTAATTTTCCTAGCAGCCGCTTCTCCCACAGAAAATCTGATTTGGCAACAGCCTGACCTCAGACGTTCCACAAGAGGAAAACACTTAGAAAGTCAAGTTGACTTTCTGGATGATACCATTGAAGTGATGGACCATAAATTACCCCAACCACCCATTAAGAGAAGGAGTATTGTGTTTTACAGTTTCACAACAAAGACCAGTTAGAAGACAGTAAAACCTTAACTCTGACCACTAATTCAGGGCTTGAGACCAAGTCCACAGCGCTGACCATGAGTGTATCCTTTCTGGCAGACCACAGGATGAATGGATACTTGAAGAAGAGATGATGAAGGAGAAAAGGGAATGTGCTGTTATTCAAAGACCAGCCTTTCTTTGTTACTCCAAGCCACCTCCCAAGCACTTAAAACACTTCAGAGAATAAATGGTTTTCAATTATAGATGACCATAAACACAGTTCATCTGTTAATCACAAGTCATCCTTACCTCTGCCACTCACATAGTCTAACCTAGTTCCCCTTGCTGTACTGCCCTGGAAATAGTAAAATTGAGTTTCTTTTAAAGGTATGCATCCCATAGGTATGTTTAGAGCTTTAAGTTAAAGAAAAGTTGGGGAGTAACAGAGAGACAAGAATTAGTTTTGTTTAGTGGATGTGTAAGTCCTTCAGGCGTGTCCAACTCTTTTCGACCCCATGAACTGTTGCCAGCCAGGCTCCTCCAGGCAAGATTACTGGAGTGAGTAGCCATTTCCTCCTCCAGGGGATCTTCCTGACCCAGGGATCAAACCCAGGTTTCCCACATTGCAGGCAGAATCTTTACCATCTTAGCCACCAGGTAAGCCCTATGTTTACTGGATGAATGCTCTTAAATGGAAAATGAGAGGTTCCATTTTGGTTGTTATTTATTGGGCAGTTTACTTGTATTTTTGCTTAAGTTTCCTCCTTTGCAACATAGAATTAATGGCACATAACCTCTCCAAAGCTTGGTTTCTGGTCTATTAAGGGGTGTCAGAACCCGCCACATGGCCATACACAGAAAGCGCAGTATCTGGCCCAAGGTAAGTGCTCAGGAAACAGGACCTATCATTGCTAATTTAGTCTGCGGTTCATTTTCCACTGAAGCAGAGCAACTGTTTCCATATTTGCCCAGTTGGTGAGGCTGTAGCTGAAAATTTCTGTCACTTTAAAAGTAAAATCAGAGCTACTCATAAAATATTGAAATGCAGCAGTTATTTCAAAATCTGATACATTGTCATAAGAATCAGACTCCTGATGGCTAGAAGGCTTAGTTTTCCTTTCAAATTCTAAGGGAAAATATATTTGAAAGTTTGTGGAAAACGACATAAATCTGGTGGCATCGTATAATCTTGCATTGCCTAATCTTGCTCTTGGGCAATTCTTGGGAGCTTTCATCTAAACTCATCCTAGTCAGAGTCAATGAATTTTAACAAAATAATGACCGTTTTGTGCTACCAAGCCAAATAGCTCTACTTCAGGTTCTGGGATTGATTTAAAATCAGTTTTTCTCTGAAACTGACCTTCCTCTGGGGCTCTGTACAAACCCACCTGAGCTGATAGACTTCTTCAAAGAGGTGTGAGGTCCACACTCCTGAAAGCATCCTCTGAAGGGAGCAGACACCTTCCACTACTTCTGAGCCCTCAGAAGGGCCTTCCCGGAGATTTAACCATTAAATGCCCATGCAGCCCTGCTCGTTACCTCCCAGCCAGTCCTAAGTACTTGGTATATGGGTACCCTGCAGATCATTAGCACTTCCATTAACCAACGCACTGGCCCAAGTCTGCTGGGGAGCAGGCCCCCCAGCTGGGATCTGAGTCTGTGGCTCCAGCTATTTCCTGAAAGTATGGACAGCTCTTCCAGGGCCAAGGCCCTGCATTCTACTTCTTTTTATTTTCTAGGTACCTTCTCTGTTCATGCTTGCTAAATCACTTCAGTCATGTCCAACTCTTTGCAACCCTACAGACTGGAGCCTGCCAGGCTCCTATGGGATTCTGCAGGCAAGAATACTAGGGTGAGTTGCCATTTCCTCCTCCAGGGGATGTCCCCAGCCCAGGGATTGAACCCACGTCTCTTACATCTCCTGTACTGGCAGGTAGATTCTTTACCACTAGCACAACCCAGGAAGCCCTACCTTCTCTGTATCAAAGTCTCAAACACCTAACAGAGTATCCGTTGAATTTTCATACACCAAGCTCTTACATAAATGAGAGGGGGAAAATAGGCTAAAAGAGGCTGAAGATGGCCCAAAGCCCTGAATGGCACCACAGGCAAAGTCCTCCCAGGAGGTGGGGTGGGGGCGGGGTGGCCTGCCCTTTGAGGAAACCCCCCAGGGCTGCAGAGACTGACTGGGACAACACTAGGAGAAGGCCCCTCCACTGAAGTCTTTCAGAAACAGCTTTGTTGACCAGCTCTTTAAGAAAAACAATGCACTCATTAGGAGGGGTCACCCGGGGGCATTTCCAGGGCAGGGTGATTTCTGAATCTTTCAAAGCACTGAGAATATCAAATGCAGTTTGTCCAAACGCCTCAGCTTCAAATCAGGTTTCCCAGGCAGCCTGATGACAGTGAAAACAAAACCACCAAGCCAGGTGGTGGGAGGTGGGGGGAAAAGGGGGGATGGGGGGGGAATCTATCTGGGGCTGTCACCAGGTCTTCCTCCAGCACTTGGCTAGTGCTTTTAAGACATGATAGGGTAAAATCCTTACAGGAACAGAAATAGCCAAGGATTGTAATCATTTTCTCATAAAAAGGCCAAACAGCCCTTCTCTGCTGGATTCTATTCAGCTCTTTAACAAAAAGGTTAAGCCAAATATTGTCATCAATTCACAAAATTGCAAATTTGGCAGTTTCTGCTCACACTTGCAGCCATTTTTCAGCTGCTGTAGAAAATGAATCAGATTTGTTTGTCTTCTCCTCTGCCACCACAGGTGTGCACAGCCCTGGAATTCTGGTTGGGGCAGAGTGAAGATGGGCTAGACAGAGCCTTCCCTGGTAAGAGAGTCCCAGATTTGGATCCTTGTCTGACAGTCCCTGGCTGATGACACTCAACATGTCACTTCACCTGTGTGTGCTTCCATTTCCTCATCTGTGAGATGAGTGAGATGGACCATATAATCTCTAAGGTGTCTTCCAGCTTCCCGTTCTGAGGTTCTATTATTTAATAATAAAGGAGTATGAGATTATGCTCAAAACACCAGAGCAAGGCTTTGCCAACAGAACACAATAACTGATTTTGTTTGCAAGCTGAGTGGCTTTTTCCCATCAGTAAGAGAGGATTGTGAAAGCTCTTCTCTAGGAGCAGGCCCCACATTAAGAAAATCTGATACAGAAGAAGCTCAACTTACTAAACAGATAAATTAGAAGGTGATTATTTGCATTACAAAAGAATTCACCGTGGGTTTCCTTTAAATAGCTAAATCCCCCCGTGCATTTAAAATGCAATCTGATTTAGTAGAATTCAATTTGTGCCGGTTTTTTTTATTTTCAATAACACAGCCATTGCATAAAAAGACCACATTTAAAGTAATGAGAAGCCACTTTTATAATATGTATCATATAAGGAGAGGGGAAGGGGTGAAACCAGCATTTATTGAGTGCTACAATGTGCCTGAAACCCACTCCAGTATTCTTGCCTGGGAAATCCCATGGACAGAGGAGCCTGGTGGGCTACAGTCCATGGGGTCGCAAAGAGTCAGACACAACTGACCGACTAAACAACACAACGTGCCTGGGGCCTCATATATGTTGTCTCATTTCCACTGCACGATACACCCTATGAGGTTGGTATCATAGCCTCCACTGGGAATATAAGGAATCTAAAAACAGAAGGATTATATGAATATGTCTAAAATCTTGGACCCGAATTCACATGGACTGATTCTACCTTCTTTCCCTTACCTCACACCCTTGGGTGCAGCAGACCATGACAGACAGACAGCTGACCTTGATTTGAAGGTTTGAACTGTGAGTGTGGCATCCTAGGGTCTGAGAAGTGCCCTCCCACCCCAGCACTCAATTCACCACACAGGGTAAGTCACTAACCTGGGACCAGTTTGTTTCTAAACTGAGGGATGATTTCTGGCCACCTCCCAGGGTTTTAAAATCAATTGATACAATGTATATCAAAGTACTTCACAAATTGCCAAGTGCTATAAGAATGCACAGGGACACTATTCTTTAACAATCGGTCCTACAATTCAAATAGTTTACTGATGTATTGTGCTTATAAGACTTGGAAGACCTGAAGAAAAAACACTTTTCCATCATACACAGGACTGGTCAGACCTTAACAAGTTATGTGTCCAATGAATCAAAAGAAAACTGGAAAGAAGGATATAAGAGGAAAGTCAGTGGAGATCAACATCTGGCTGGAGAGCTGAAGTTCATAGACACTTGGGGCATCCAAGCGGGTTATTCTGGAGAAAGTGGTGACAAGATATTCTTCTGTAGGGAGAAGAGGACCAGAGGAAACTTTCCTAAGTTGTAAGGAGGATATGATGCAGAGCTTCTACCACTAATACTTTTTACCACTGGAAAACTTGGCCAATAAACAGGCAGAAGACTTCTGTCTGCAGATACACCTTTGCCTGGAAAAGTATGTGCCCAGTAATTTGCACATACTCCTCTTCAGCCTCACCTACATCTTCCCACTTCTGCACACCTGCTCCCTCCTCCCCCAGAGCTGGATCTCCCCTCCCTCAGGGCTGATGTGTTCTGCAGGTCAAAATCTTAAGACTTGGTTCTCCTGTTACCTTGGCCCTCCCTGGGCAGGGAGCAAATTCATCAACAGGGATCAAAACCTGAAGATGCATTACTTGTCATCCCCCAACTGAAACATCTGCATTTTATAAGACTGTTTCCAGGAGATCCACAATTTCCTTACCAAAGAAATGTCTCTAATAGTGATTACAACTGACACTGTACCAAGCCAAAGCGGGGAGGGACCCTGAGTCTGGAGCTTCTCAAATCCCTCCCACAGCAACACCCACCACTTGGAAGGCAGGTCCTGGGAGAAGAATGCACCATGCTCAAGGTCCTCAGTCAGGAGGATCACAACTTGAATTCAAGTGCTAAGTAGAAATGAAAATCAAAGCAAAGAACTCTCTGAGCTAAGAAAGAAAAGAGGAAGAAGGGAGGGAGGAAAGTGGGAAAGGAAGGGAGAAAGGGAGGGAAGAGGAAAGAAAGAAAAGAAAGGGAGGGGAAGAGGGAGAGAAGGAAGAAAGAGGGAACAGAAAAAGATGGTTCAAATCTAAATTTCTAAATCTAAATCCAAACCTAAATTTAGCAGACAGAACCCCGCCCCCATTGGGATGGAAATATTATAATCCAGCTGATTCTCCATTTACAGCCATTTCTCCCAGAACATCATGGGGTGACGGTGCCCCCACCAGAGCAAACTACTTGAGTGAGTCTGGTGATGTCCAGTCAGGGCCTGTCAAGAAAACATCAGCAGTTACCTGAACCTTAAAACACCAGCCTATTCAACAGGCATGGAGATGTGGCCAGATCTTTGTTGTGGGTCCAGTTAAGAGATAAGTCCATGCAACCATTTCTTTTTAAGACACTGAGACAGGGTAACCCCACTCTCCAGATGAAAGCAAAGTCCTCTTTCTGCTGGGCATCCTGACTACAGGAGGAAGAGGATGAGAAAGGAAGTTGGAGGGAAAAATCATCGCTGCCATGTGCACATGTGTACAGTGTCCTGTGTCTCATGCCCTGAAGACAGCGGAACAGTTCTTCCCCCATGATTGGCATGAGATGTTGCCAATGTGAATGTCAGCGGGTTGTTTGCTGCACAAATACCAATTAAACAAGCCCCGCAGCAGCTGCAACCTGCCCAGCCAACTCTGAAAAGAGCACATCTCTCCAGACCTCTAACTTTCTCCTGCACTCACTGGAACCCAACTCTTCCTTTTATTATTCCTTTTAGCAGTTAGATGTTTTTAGAATTATTCAAGTAGTAATAGTTTGTAAAAAGAGCAGGAGGGCAGAACTAGTTAGCAGCAACCAAACAGAACAAATGGAGCCTAAATAACAGTAAAGAGCTGTGTTCTCAGCATCTTTTTCTTTATTCTAGATAAATCCTCTGCTGGGAGCCTCCTCTTATCTATTCCTCCCCAAATCCCTGGTTTAAAAGCAAGATTTGTTTGTCTTTATCCCAAGTATGGTACAACCTGTATGTTGACTCTGAAATGAGAAAACTGCTTTAAAAAAAAAAAAATCTTACTTCATTTTCCCTGATGGGTAAGGCTTTTCTCTTCAAAATCATCAAACCACATATTTTCAAGAACCAGGCAATGAATTTCATACAGCTGATTCTGTCTCCGACAGAGATCTTTCAGGGCATTAGTCACAAGCAAGTGACCGAGGTAAACTAAAGTGGTTTCTATAGCCATTTGCAATTATTGACAAACAATTTCATAACGGAAAATGGAAATTACAGTCAAGTGCAATAAGCTGTTTATCCAAGATCTACCTGCTGGTGGCTCTTTTTCTCTTTTTTATTTTTTTCTTTCAAGCGAAACAGCAGCTATCATCGGAATGCATTTCTCCCGTTTAAGATGTGTCTTATCAGTATCTCCACCACCAACCCGGTTTTCCAGTTGTCTGTTGGCAGGATTTGTATTCAACCGCGGTGGTGGCCAAGACGGTAGCTTATTCTTGGGTGTTTGCGAGACTCCCACGCCGTCAGGTCTATGGGAAGGGATCACCCCCAAATGGCAAATAGGGCATTTACTCCTCCTCGAGCAGGACTCGCTTCGGGGTCTGAGGATTTGGGGCTTCTGCAGCTGGCGGATGGGTCTATTTTCATCCCCACCCTCTAAGCGCGCACAGACTCTCTGATCCTGGGCTCCGCAATTTGGGCCACCGGGGAAACAATTCTTCAGGGCAGCCTGGAGGGCGGGGGTGTGGGGGTGGGGTCTTGCGCAGTTGGGTGACCCGCACACCCTTCTGCATTTCATTTGCACCAAGGGAGCGTGTCCGACAGACGTTGGGGGTGGAAGAGAGGGGGTCTGTTATATTTTCACCAACTGGACGAACCTCAAGGGATCTCTGAGCTGTTTGCCTGAGCAGCCGGGCTTGCTCCCGGTGCGGCTCAGAGGGTTCTCTACCTCTGCCGAGATTTCAGCCCGCAGCCACTCACCCCGCCCCCGCTCCCCTCTTCCCTGCCGCATCTTCCTTTTTCTTCTCAGTTCCTTCGACTGTTGAACCCAGGCTCCGGGTACAGCCAGGGCCTTAGGAGAACCACCCGGTTCCTCTGGCTTTCCCGCGCCGCCGGGGTATTGCGGCGCCGCCCCAGTCCCCCGCCAGCCTGGGGATATAGGTTCTGCGCGCGACCCGGCAGGGAGCGCCTCCGCCCCCGCCGCACCTGGCACCGGAGTACCCACGCCCCGCGCGGGTCGGTGCCAAACTGGGGCCACGCTGGCCGCAGGTACTTCGGAGGAGCTGTTGGGTGCCTTGCCTTTGCTTTATAAACTCAAGATCCCTGAGACCATTCCTTCCGCCTTCACCCCCCCACCGCCCCCCGCCATCCCCAGTAGGACACGGAACTCCAATGTTTTCCCGAAAGAAGCAAAAGGGGGGGGGGGGGGACCCAGTCTCGCAGGACTAACTCAGTGAATGCAAACTCGAGGCAGACATATCCTATGTCGCGATGTGGGGTCCCGCGAACGCCTCAAGTACCCGGCTTCTCCCGCGACCCCCCATCTTCCCTAGATCCTGGTTAGCTTCATCCAGCCCCACGCTCAAGAAGGCGGGGGGCTGGGGTTACCCCAACTCATCCTGGAAGGCTGTAACTTCGGAAATCCCTCCCGTTACATTCGCCGAACGGAGGTACCTCGTCATCTCGGCGGGGCAAGTCCGGATTCCGCCAGGGGTAGGTCCGGGAGGTCACCCGGGCAGGCAGTCCGAGGAAGAACGCTTTACAATCCTGCCGCCGCGCGCCCCATCCGAGCACTCTAGGCGCGCCTGCCCCTTTCCTCACCCTTCAGTCTCCCATTCGCCGACTAAACTTTTGGGGGACCACATCTCCAAGCCTCGGGAGTTCCATGCTAAAGCCTCCCTCTTTTCCGAACCTCTTCACTGGAATGTAATCACGGGAAGATAAGAGGGGTGGCTGCCTTGTTCTTTGCAACGTAAAATCAACAGACACCCAATCAAGCTCCAATGCCCGGCCAGCCCCTCGCCCCCTGGTGCCCACTCTCCCTCGCCTCCCCCCCATTCCCGTCACCTCCGCCCACTAGTTCTCCGGGTGCGCGAGGCCATCTACTTGGACGCCGGAAAAGCAGATCACTAAAGTGATCTGAAAGAGACGGTGCACCTGCCTGGCCACTGGATGGTTTGGGGGAAGAAAACGTTAAGAGGAATAAAAACGGGGCAATTTTCTCTTTTTCCGCAAGCACAGCCTTTGGGGAGAGTTGGGGGGGGGGGCTTTTTTTTTTTTTTTTTTCTTCCTGTGGTTGGTCACTTGCTTTCCTCTTTTCCTCCTTCCACTGCTCGGCGAGTCTTACCCTGCTCCCCGCAGAGGACGCGGTGAGAAAGCCCGCTGGGGGCCCGCCGCTCCATGTCAGCGCCGCTGCTGCGCTAGGCGAGCACCGCGGCCGCACTTGTGGCTGGTCTCGGGGCTGAGGGGGCTGAGCTGGCCCTGCCGGCGCCAAGTCTCTTCCATGTGTGAATAACAAATACTCCCACCAGCGGCCGCGATTGGTCTGCGCGCCGCGCCTCCCGATCCTCCGCCCGCGGCCATTCACCCCGCGCGGAGCCGCGGCCGGGATCGCGCCCGGGATCGCCAATCGCTTGGCGCCAACCAGTCACCTCGGGAAGCGGGAGGAGGAACTCCGGGGGGCGGGAGCCCCTGGATTTCGGTGTCTCGGAGCTGCCCGGGTGCGGGCAGGGACAGGGTCACTCAGCCGGCGGATTCCCTCCCCGCGCTACATCATCTCAGTCCTCAGCGATGCGGGGAACAGAAATGTCAATAGTTCTGATTTTTAAAAATCACCCCATCCGCCCCGCCCCCAACGAAAAAGGGAGGACCCAAAGACGCGGGGCGGGGCGGGGAGGGGAAGGATAGTGGCGGGGAGGGTAGGAAGAAGTGCGGCTGGAAGGAGGGATATGGCTGTGAAGGAGCTGAGTGCCTCCGAATGCCAGAATAGCCCAGGACCCGCGCGGTAAGCGCCGCACCAAGGCCACCCGGAGCCCGAAGTCAGGACCGCGAGCCCGGGGCTCGCCTTCATCAACGCAGCTCCGAAAAGGGTCCCAGTGAAGAATACACGGTAGACGGCACCTGTCCCGCCACACGCTTTTCTGTCGGGGATGCTCAAAGTAAAGCCTCCAGCCGCGCGCTTCCCCTGCAAAGTTTGCTCCCGCCGCGCTGCCGCTCAGCCATTTGTCCTGCCCGGCGGCTCGGGCGATCATCTCCCTGCCCTTGACTCCCACGGCGCCGTCTATCGAGCCCCCGCAGCCCAAGCCCGGACGCAAGACCCGCCGGCTGCCGGCCCTGCGCATAAGGGGGTGCGGGCTGGCACGATGGCCGGCGTCTTATTGAGGTGATTCTAGCAGCCGCAGATGCGGGGCTGGAAAATCCTGGAGACCCGCGCCTGCAGCTCCTGGGTTCCCGAGGGGAAATCGGGAGTCCCTTCGCCTCCAGCCGATGCAAGCCCACCAGACTCTACGACCACGGCCCAGCGGCCCTCCCGCAAGAGTTACCGCCCAGGCACCCCGCACCTGTTTGGAAAAAGAAGAGAGAGAGCCCCCTCGCCGCCCAGCGCCTGGGGGAGCTGCGGCCCGCCCGACCTTGTGTTGGTGAGAAAGTTCCATCTAGAGGCGGCCGCGCGCAACTGCAGCCCGCGCCCCAGGCCCAACCTCCTGCCCTGGCCGCCGAGTGAGCCCAGGACAGAGCGCCTCCTCGCCCCACCGCCCAGATCGCGTGGGAACATGGAGGAGAAAGGAACAGCCAGCGGAAGATGGGGAGGATGGAGGAGGGGAGGACCGGCCCGGTGCAAGGCAGGCCCTCTCTCCCCAGTCGGCATCTCTGCAATGAATTACACCTTTCAAAGCATGATGAACCTCGTAAGCATGATGACAGGTATCTTGCATTAATCTCAGTATATTGCTTATCCTGTGTGGGCTTCTTTGGCTGTCACACCAACTGTCAGGTGATCAAAATTATTAAGTCCATTCTACAGGTGAAGAAGGAAACCGAGGCTTAGAGACACAGCTGGAAAGCCCTCGAGCCAGAAATCTCATCTGTTGATGAGAAGGGGCTGTTGCTTTTCCCAAGGCTGGCATTAATGTACCAAGTTTCCTCTTTCATAAAGCCACACTCACCCTTTGTCACTTAGAAAAATCTACAGGTTTCCAGCTCAGCAGACCTCTTCTCTGTTCATTTCCATCTCTTCCTGTTCTTTTACCTTTTCTCTCCCATCCCATGAGGGACTGTTCAGACACAGAATCATCCACCTGGAGGGAGGATGGAGAATTTGGAGAGAGAAAATGGCCTGGATCCCCTGTCCTCAAGTTTCTGCCCGGGGAATCCTCAGTTCACTGTGAATGCACAGCATAGCCTTGAAGGGAGTGACCAGCAGACAGTGCAGCCTGGGGCAGTGCAGAGAGAAGCCTTCATTGATACAGAGATGGGGCTGGGAGGGCTCATGGGCCACATGTCTGAACATGAAGTTTGGGGGACTTTCTTACCCACTGAAAGGGCTCCCTCCTCCCCCAGGTGTGGGAAGGTAAACTCAGAAGCCTGATTCCGTAGTCAACAGCCCACCCCACCCCACACTGTAGACTGGCGATATCTGTCTCAGCTTTACTATGTGAGTATTAAAATGTTTGTGGGGGGTGGGGAGAGAGAGAGATGAAGGGGAAGACAGGCAGAGCCAGCCCAAAGGTCCCTGTGCCCACAGGGCTACTGACTGCACGGTAGCCTTCAGGATCTGCTAGAGACCAGCCATGGTGGCCAGCAGGGCTATTGCCCAGGTGAGCACAGGGGGCAGCACCCTGGCAATCTGGTGGGCCCGTGTCAGAAACAAGGATAGCACAGCTGGTTGTGGTTTTGGAGGGCTGGCCAGGCAGAGTGAGCTGCTCAGGGAGAAATACCTAACGAGCCTGCTTTTCTTCTTCCTCTGTTGATCACTGCCTGTGGAGAACTGGTGCCCTGCGCACAGGCACGTCGCAGCCTTTTCTGGTGCAGCCCTCTGAGAGATGAGCAGAACTGACCTCTCCAGGGAAAGTATTGGGTTTCCCTGGTTGCTCAGATGGTAAAGAATCTGCCTGCAATGCAGGAGACCTAGGTTTGATCCCTGGGTCAGGAAGACCCCCCTGGAGAAGGATATGGCAACCCACTCCAGTATTCTTGCCTGCAGAATCCCATGGACGGAGGAGCCTGGCAGGCTACAGTTCATGCCGTCACAGAGTCAGACACAACTGAGCAACTGACAGATACAGGGGAAAATAGAATTCTGATGTTCAGTTCTGCATCCTCTTTAACTCTCGAAAGTCAGAACAGGGCTATCATCCCAATCCTACATGAAATCTGGTCCATAGAGAACAGATTCATTCTACATATCTCAGAGTGTTTCTAGTGACTTTATCTGGTGGCCCCTGAGCAAGTGACAAGCTTATACACAGGTTAGAATCCAGCCAGACTGATAGCAACATCAGGATTCAGGAAGAGAGACTGTCTCCAGGAGTCACTNATATATATATTTTTTTTTTTTAACTAGACCATCTGCAAGTGGTGGTAAGTGTACCAATGTGGATTTTGCTCAGTTCATGAAAGCCCTGGCTCCTGGAAGCAAGATTAGACATATGAGACTGACAGACAGGTCCAATGAAGTTCAAGTGTGCCCCTCCGCATACTATCAGTCCACCCCTACCTGCAGGAGCCATGGAAGGGATCTCCTGAGAGGGGACTAATGACATTGTGTACATGCATCCCTGCTGGCTTCAGCTGGGCTCCTCCAGGAGCACAACCTGAGATTTAAGGGCAGGCAGTTTATTTAAGAAGGGGCTTTCCTAGTAGCTCAGATGGTAAAGAATCTGCCTGCAATGTAGAAGACCTGGGTTCAATCTCTGGGTCAGGAAGAGCCCCTGGAGAAGGGAATGGCAACTCACTCCAGTATAGTTTATTTAAGAGGTAAAGGAAAGGAATTTCCCCAGTGGTCCTGTGGTTAAGACTTTGCCTCCCAATGCAGGGGATATGGGTTTGATTCCTGGTTGGGGAGCTAAGATCCCAGGTGCCTCTTAGCCAAAAAACAGAAGCAATATTGTAACAGATTCAATACTCTTCTAAAAAATGATCCTCCTTAAAAAAAAAAAAAAACACACAGAGGTGAAGAAGGGCCCAGTAGTGGAGTGAGCAATTGAGCCACAATAGAGTACATTATCAAGCCAGCTGTCCCTGTGGGGCCTGGGGAATTTTCATGGTTTGCAGACATTCCAGGTGACTGATGACTTTCACTAAAATGAGAAACCCACTGCTTTCAGGAAATTGTTCTCCTCGAAATCAACAGGCAGCACATTTAAATACATAAAAACTTACTTTCAAAGCCTAGGGAAACAGACCTTAGAACTCAGGAATCCCTGGAGGAGACAGGCCTGTGCCACCCAAGTCTGTGGTCACAGAAGCTCCTCATTCTCTTTTCCGCTCTTTTTAAACCAAGAAAGTTCCACCCAGTGTTTTCTGAGGGAAAAAAAGGCTGAGTCTCTGCTGCCCTAACTTTGTAATTAACAAGTCCTTTCATTTTCACCTTTTAACATTTCTGTACCTCAATTTCTTACCTGTTATATGGGTGTAGCAGAGACCTGTCCAACCAAGATTCATCAGTAGTGTGAAGTTGCCACAAGAAAGTGATGTGCGTCTGCATGCACACGTGCGCGCGTGCACACACACACACACACACACACACAGAGGGGCTACAATTCCCTACCTTCCTTGCATCTAGGATCCAGGCAGAGCCATGTGTCTACTCTTTGTAGAATGAATGAACAGAAGTGAGGCAGATCACTGGCCCAAGGAAATCAAGAAGAAAATGTTTCCTCACCCTCTCTTTCCCCTTCTTCCAATGGGAAGCAGAGATTTCCA